ATGTGTATTTTTGGGTTATTCTTCAGGGTATAAAGGTGTTTTGTGTTATGATATCGCCAATGACAAATTTATCATCTCCAGACATGTGATTCATGATGAATCTGTTTGGCCTTTCAAGTCATTACTGCTCAGTTCAACGACTGCTGTTTCTGAATCCCAAGTAGCAATGCCACCTATTCTTTTTTCCTTTGCCTTTGCAAGAAGTTACACCTCGGGCTACCACAATCACATCAATAACTCCTTCAACATCATCTTCTACTTCTGCATCTTCGGTTGCGCAACCATTAGGTGGTTCAGATTCAGTTCTTGTTCCAGAGGTGCATCATCCCCTTTTAGGTGATCATCACCTGCCAGTTTTACCTCCTCCTGAGCATTCATCTTCAGGTACATCCTCATTTGATTCTTTACCTATTGGTCCTATTAATACTCATCCCATGTATACTAGACTTAGGGATGGCATAGTACATAAGAAACAATTTCCCAACTATGTGGGGTATTATACATGTTTGAATGCTCATATTGAATTAGATGAACCTGTAAACTATAAAGGTAGCCTCATTTTCTCCACAATGGAAACAGGCCATGCAAGAAGAGATTGATGCCTTGCATATGCAAGGTACTTGGAGTTTGGTTCCTAATACTGGAAATAAAAACATTGTTGATAGTAAGTGGATTTATAAGATAAAGAGGAATTCTGATGGTTCTATAGCTAGGCATAAAGCTCAGTTGGTTGCTCAGGGATTTAGTCAAGAGCAAGGCTTGGATTTTAGTGAAACTTTCAGTCCTGTAGTGCGTCACACCACTGTCAGGTTAATACTGAGTCTAGCTGCAATGAATAAATGGCAATTAAGACAACTTGATGTTAAGAACGCCTTTTTACATGGCGAATTGGAAGAAGAAGTGTTTATGAAACAGCCACAAGGGTTTGCAGATCCACGTTATCCTGATTTTGTATGTAAGCTTAAGAAATCATTGTATGGTTTGAAGCAAGCTCCAAGGGCTTGGAATGCCAAATTCACTGGATACTTACCAGCTATAGGTTTTCAAGCTTCCCAGTTTGATCCTAGTCTTTTTGTTAGACATTCAGACTCAGAGGTTGTGATCCTCTTACTCTACGTTGATGGTATTATTCTCACAGGTTCTAATGAGAAGATGGTTCAACTAGTGATTGATGAGTTAAGTTTTGTATTTGAAATGAAGGACTTGGGTAAGCTTAAATTCTTTCTCGGCTTGCAAGTATCTTATGCCTCCAATGGTGATATTGTTGTTAATCAGTCCAAATATGCTAAAGAGTTGCTCCACAAAGCTGGGATGCACTCTTGTCGATCTTGCTCAACTCCATGTAAACCACATACACAGGTGTTAAAAGAGTCTGGTGAAGTGTTAACTGATCCAACATTGTTTAGGAGCATTGTAGGGGCTCTTCAATATTTGACTTTTACAAGACCAGACCTTGCTTACTCTGTTAACTCTGTGTGTCAATACATGAATCAACCTAATGATCTTCATTGGCATTTGGTGAAAAGGATTCTCAAATATATGCAAGGTACTTTAGAATATGGCCTGAGTTTTACAGCTGGTGATATGCATCTCTCTGCATATAGTGATGCTAACTGGGCAGGAGACATCAACACTCGCAGGTCTACAACAGGTTTTGTGATATTTTTGGGCAACAATCCTATATCTTGGCAGTCAAAGAAACAAGGCTCTGTTTCAAGAAGTTCTACAGAGGCATGGTATAGGGCTCTAGCCAATACTACTGCTGATTTGGCTTGGATTCGGCAGGTTTTAAAAGATTTGAAGTTGTATCTGCCTGATCCTCCAGTTGCATATTGTGATAATTTGTCTACGTTGGCTCTTAGCTCAAATCCAGTATATCATTCCAGAATTAAACACTTGGACATTGATTTCCATTTTGTAAGGGAGCGAGTGCAGAAGAAGGATTTGCTGGTTCAGTATGTTTCGACAGATGAACAACTTGCTGATGTATTTACAAAGGGTCTATATGGTCCTATCTTCTCACAGCATTGTGCTCATCTTAGGTTAAGAGAGTTACCTAAGTAGGGAAAATGTTAACTATGGTTAGTATGTTAACTATGATTAGCAAGTCAGTAAGTTTGTTACAAGTCTGGTACTTAGCACGTGTATTAGTTAGACAACTAAGCTGTGTGGTTAGTCGGTTAAGCCCCTCTGTGATCTGTTTACATAAGAGTGGGCTTTGCTTTGTAAGAGTTAGTTGATTGAAATCAAAACTCAGAATTCTCTAGTCTTCTCCATTTATCTTTCTCTGATATTTCTGAAATTCTTCTCCTCTTTCTTTTCTGTCATCATCCCCAACACATATGACTCTATTTGTCTGGTTTGATCAAAACAAGGAAGGAAACTCAGAGGTAAATTGAGTGATTTGCACCCACTGGGAAGCGCAACCATGAAAAAAGATTCCCAAATCGGATAGCGACTGTTTACCGGATTATTGGTTTTGCAAGAGAATAATATCGCATCCATATTAGTGTCTCTTTCAACCAATACATGATGAGGAAACGGTTTAGGAACTGGTGTCGGCCAACAGCGTGAAAATGAGTATGCTTTCGCATGAGCACTTTTGGGCCTCCCTCTATTGTTGGTTTGATCAAAATCGGATAGCGTGTTGATGAACGAACCTCTTGTACGGAAGTTGCATGCTACAATATACCCATACGTACATGTAAGATATCCTCATCTTTGGGGTCTAAAGCCAACACCATAGCCTGCGACCACGCGTTTCTATTTACCCATTCAACAATTACTGGATTATTTTCCGTAACCAGTTGGTCCAATAAAAACCTTTTTACCAAAAAACATTTCATTAATTTGTCTCCGTTGGTCGGATCTTGCCTGTTGCATGAAAATATTAGCAGCCTTTTGTTTTGGGAAGTATACATTTTTGTGATTCATATTCACCTTTGCAAGTACTAGCCATACCATCAAATACGAAACAGCATTTTCATCTAATCTTGTATAAACAAAGGCAGATAAATTAAACAAAACTCTCATACTCTTTTTGTTTACTTGTAATTCTTTATTCTTAAGGGGAACTAATGTTGTTGGTCCCAACTCCCTTCTTGTATGCGCAGTTGCTCACAGTACTTTCAATCACTGAGTAAATGAGCTAGGACTAAAATTATGTATTGCAAGGAAACATGGATGAAGGTCAAGTTTTCTTGGCCATATAATATTTGATAGCATTTGTGTTCATAAAATGGCCAGAGTTATAGCTCATGTTTAGAAGTTAAAATAATTGTTTACAGCCTTCCTAATGGCTAACCACAGACCGTTAATCCTACCTACCTTAATTTCTAGCCTAAATCGTTTAGCCCTGACTTGATCAGCTTGAGAAGACTCTTGTTCTAATTTCCTCTTCACAGGCTCCACACCTCCCATCACTCCCTGAATTTTCTTCATGACTCCGGCTCTTCCTTGTTCCAGTGCTGCCAATTCTGCCTTTACCCTGCCAATTTTTGAGTCATAATCCTCCAGCTCAGCTTCACAGGCTTGGCATATCTCTACTCCATGTTTGATCTTAACCAGGTCTTGTTCATGATCAGTCAAGAACCTTGTGCAGTCGTGGAGTTCTTGTTTCTCTTGGATGTTTTCAGCAATATGAGCATCAAAGTAGTTGAACATTTTGCGAAGCCTGTTTAGCAGTTGTTCAGGGAGCAGGTTCTGAGCATGCAGGACTTCCAGAGCCTCCTTTAGCTCTCCAAAGTTTTCTTCAGCAGAAAAAGTTTCCAGGTCTCTGGAAAGCCAAGTCCTGAGAGTTTGTTCGGCTTGCTTTGCTGCATTTGAGGCATGTGTTTCATCCCAAAGTTGAAGAAGCTGTTTGGCAGAAGAAAGTTGGAGCAGCACTCGATCTTCTTCAGAGATAGTAGCTTGTTCAGGGACCTTTTGGCCGTAATTAGTATCAGTGGCTTGTTCGGGTGCAGTGATAGGCTCGAAGATCTCATTGGTTGGGATGCCTATCTCCTGCCCTGTTGTGGCTTGCACGCTTTCAGGGCCAGCAGCCTGATAACAAGTAGATAATGGTAAGTTTAAGTTGGAGTATATAATAATCATAAATAAAAGTGGAGAAGAATTTACTTCTTCAGGAGTTTGAGATGGACTTGGCTCTGGGATAAGGTTCTCCCCGTTCCCTAGACCTAGTATGTCCTGTATGTCCTGCCCAGAAATAAAGATCAGTCTAAGATAATTGTCCTAGAAACTCTAAAGAGATTGTTTACCATCAATCGCCGGTATTCTTAACAAAGTGTTTAATGGCAGACCTCCAAAGAAGAGACGACGCTTCCATCAAGAATCAGACTGCCAGGTTCTGCGGCAGGTTCATTAAACCCTCTTTCTGGTTCCTTACCCTGACAATGATTGTCGATATAAAATGCTAAGGTACCATTTTAAAGAAGGCACTAAATGAGTTCCTAATTTAATAATAATTGACAAATATGACAGGGTATATCGAACAATAAATTCTGCCACTAGATTAGCAAAAGGGAAAACTAAAAGATAGTTAGCAAGGAAGAGCTACTTAAATCTTCAAAAGACAACATTAATGTACAACCTTAACCAGAACCAAGTAGGACAGCGGTGTCCCATGAATCGTTGATATTCTATGAAAATCAAATAAGTTGAACAAGAACAATATAAAAGAAACTTCAAGAGAAGGTTTGGATACCAATGACAATGCATTGAAATGAAATCCAACTCATATTTGAACTGAGATAAAAATGCATCAACAAAGAAGTCCCTGAAAGCTGTAAATATGTGTTTAATCCAGCTCATGTTCTTATAGTTGAGAACATTAAGAATACCATTTTTTGTAACTGCTTTTCAAGATGTTTCCTTTTGTTTTGATCTTCACTCTGCTCCAGCACTTTGCTAATATCTTTCTTAATATCTTTCCACTGAACATCAAACTTGGTCAAGGCTTTGTCCTCCTCTAAGAATGCCTTCTCAAAGTCGTCACGCAGGTGATGAATATCTTGCCGCCATCTTGCTATTTTGACAACATAATAAAATGGAAAATAAAGGAAATTACTAGAAGAATAAAACTGAATGCAGTAAAACCAAATTTAAAGATCATTCTTTGATTAGGAAAAGAAATTTAGGAATCCACCACGATTCTTTCATAAATGTTTTCTCAGCAACCAAACAATGTATTTCATTTTGTTAACATCACGTACAGGCAAAATCATCAATATGCAAACCAGAATGTCCTCAGAAAATCTTCTGTTGGCTTCCCAGAAAAACAAAACCCCAACTTTGCCCACTTACAGAAGTAATTTGAATCACAAGCTCAAATAGCCCTTTTGAGAAAGCAGCAGCAAAACCCACTTCCAAGACAATTGATTTTGTGTAAGAAACGTATTGTTGCTTACCGTATAGATCTTAGAATTAGTTAAGACAAAACTCAAACTCACCAATATCCATTTCTTCTGAAGTGCTGTAAGGAGAGAAAAAAAAAAAAGATCAAAATTAAACCCCGTCTCCAAAACAACTGAACAAGGAAATAAGGAACCCAGACATACAGGACTGAGAGCACTACAACTAATCTCTTATTTTTCTGACATTTTCTGAGCGAAAAATAAATTTCATTTTTGAACAATAAGAAACCATACAAGATCGTCATACAGAAACATGTAAGCGAACCAGAATCTCTTTGCTACCTTCTCCCTTTTCTTTCTTGCACTCAGCTTTTCTTGTCTTGAACGTACTTCTCTTTTATTTCTTTGTCAAAGGGGGAAAAAAACCTTTTCTTTGTATCTGTATTTAGCTTTTCAGATTAAAATTTGCAAGTGAAAACAGGTTTACGAGTTCAATTATTTTCCCTGGAAACTCCTCGTCTTCTTACAGCTGCTGGAAACTCTTCATCTTCCAACAGCTGTATTGTCTTGGTACTGTAAAAGCCTTTATTGCTTCTAAAGACCGTAAAAGGCTTGTCTATATATGCAACCTGTTGTACTGATATCCATATGATGAATAAGAATCTCAAACTCCACTGGGGAGGGACGTAGGCTCAAAATTGCCAAACCTCGTTAAACTTGTGTTATGTTTTCTTCTTTTTCTCTGATTTCTACAAAACTCCTAGGCAACAGGTGCAGCCTTTTTCAGAGTAATAATTATTTACAAATTTACGGAGAAAGACCAAACACCGAACTAGTTCGGAAAATTGGTGGCTAGAAGTGATATTCACACAAAACCGGTTACTACTAGGGGTCGTTTGATACGACGGATTGTCATTGATTGGATTGTCTTGGATTAGCTCGGATTGGCCTAAGCTGGATTAGGTACTGACCTACGTTTGGTATTGCATCGGACTAAAAAGCTGAATTGTAAAAATAGTGAAGGTCTATGTTTGATGCTGTGTCGGACTAAAAAATAATTTTTTTTTAATTATTTATAATTACTCAGGTAGACACCAAATTTTATTAGGTGTTGTTGTGATGTATAAATATAAATACGAATTACCAAAGAAAATTATAAGAAAGAAAAAAAAAAGTCCCTCTTTTTAAAGCCCAAGATTTAGCTTGGGTATTTTCAAAAAAGAAAAAAAAAGGTTTTAGCTTAGGTAGTCCCAAAATAGAGAAAAAAATCTAGAATTATCTTTAATAATAAGTGAAAATGATAGAGAAAAAAAGTTGAATTTTATTGGTTAATTGATAAACTGAACAAGTATGCATCTAATAATAGTTTTTTTTTTTTTATACATACAATTTTTTTTCCCCAAAATAAATACAGATTGTAGTAGGATATGAGAATAAAATAAACAATGAAGTGTCATTTCTTTTCAACTTTTATTTTTTCATTAATATTTTAATGTTTATTATAAAAGGAAACCTAAAATTATCTGAAACTAATGTTTAATTAAAACAAGATTATCAAAAAACAAAAAAGTTAGCACACTTTTCCTTCCACCTTCTTCTCGACTTTTCTTCTCCCAACTCAGACTCCCTACCACCCACATGCGTCCCCTATTTTTTCACTCTCTCATCTCTCTTCATAAATCCTCTCCTCCCATAAGTGCTAGTGCTGCTTGGTTTTATATAACCCATGTGAAAACAGCAACAAAATCACACTGAAACACATAATTCAAACCAGTGTTTTCAAAGGCATACTTTCGCGCGCGTCGGAGCGCGCTTCAGAGCGAGGCGGTCGGCTGTTTTGCGAGTTGCACGTTTAGCGCTGGGAAGGCGTGAGCAGGCGTTACAAGGCGTTGCAAGGCGGAGCAAGGCGCGCGATATCTGGACACGCTGAAACAGAAGAAATTTTCAGCTTCTGCAAATTTGGTGCGGCTCTGCGAGGAAGATGATACAGCGAGGAAGACGTCTTTTTTTTTATAGGTTTTTTCTAACGAAACGACGTCGTTTCTATTGAAGTGTTTAAAAAAAAAACTTAAAGTGAAACGACGTTGTTTCCCTTGGAGTGTTTTGAAAAAAAACAAACCACGCAAGTTTGTTTGTTTGTTTTTTTTCGCTTCCCTTTTTTTCCCCGCACTTGTTACTTCCCTTCATCCAATATTCCTGCTTTTCTATTTCCAGCCGTTTTCTACTTACCTTTTTTTTTTTTCTAAATTAATATATTAACACATGGAATTATATATATATATATATATGTATATTGTATAGTACAACCCTAATTTCTATCCTTACCAAATATTTAATTATATTTAAAATATTGTTATGGTTCAATAAAAATTAGTTGTACAATTTAATTGTATGGTATTATTCAAAAAAATTTCTTATTAAAATAAATTAATATTCAAAAGGCTTACGTCTCGCACAGTGCTACTAAAAACACCTCGCCTATACGCCTCGCTTTTGAAAACATTGATTCAAACCACCACAATAACTCTCGATTTGTTCAATTGGGTCGGTGGTGGCTGTTACGGTTCTATAGATTGGGTGGTGACGGTGGAGGGAGGCTATGGTGGAGGCTATGGCGTTCAGGAGTTTGATTCAAGCCAAGGATCTGACTGTGGTGAAGGCTGGCCTTGGAGTCGGAGTGGGTCATCTCCAGAGAAGGCCAGAAGTTATGGAGGCTGGCAAAGGAGTTATGGGTCATCTCTAGAGAAGGCCAGAAAACTTGCCTTAGTAGGAAACAAGAGAGAGAGGAGAGGCGATGCTGAAGGAAACGAGAGAGAAAGAGGACTCAAGACACGCTTGTTCTATATATAGTGGGTGTTATTTTGCAAGCCCCTTTTCAACCTCGCAATATTAGAATAGCGAGTGAGGTGTTTTTTTTACTATTCTCCTATACAATCCCACTTAACTTAGTCCTCCCTCTGACCAAACATAGGTTTCAAGTGTTATATAACCCAGTCCAGTCCAGTGAGGCCTACCAAACAAGCCCCTAGCGTGCAGGGTACGCAAGCAAGGAAAAGCTACTTTATCAACATTCATCTATTGGGCAAACAAGCAAAAGATAGATTTATTTTTGGTCATCATAGCACTGAGGCTCCGTTTGGTTCACGAAATAGATTTGATGAGAAATCAATTCCCATGTTATTTCCCAATGGATGGGAAATGAAAAATTCATTTCCCACGTTTGGTAATGTTGGGAAAGTAACTGGAAGTATCACCTTATTTCCTTTCCCATGTTTGTTTTGAGTAGGAATAAAAAATAAAGTTTGTATAATTTTCCAATTATACCCATATTAAATCAAATAAAAAAATGTATTTAATGATATATTGTAATTCTAAATTATTAATGGGGACAAAATAGTCATGAAAAATGTGTATTTAGTGTTGGCTCATTTTCCCAAACTTTCCCATGAGGAGAGAAAACAAAACCCAAGTTGGGATGAAGGTATAACTTTCCCCCTTACTTTCCCATGTGTCAGGCAACGATTTCCCATGTATGGACTTACCAAACATGGGAAAACAATTGATTTCCCATCCCCAAGTCTCCTTTCCCATGAACCAAACGGGGCCTTATGGGTTTAATGCATTTTTCTTTCAGCGTGCTAAGCCAATTATTGTTCAAAATGCCATTAATTGGGAGCTGGCTGGCTAATTTCAAGCCATTTTTCAAGAACATGTCTCTTCGTTTTAAGTGTCAATTACACTGATATTAGGTCCAACTTAAAGCATCTACAATTATAGTCTCTATTTTTAGATATTACGAGCACCAACTTATACACCAGTTTTCTAATGCCAACTTAGGTGGAACATCACATGACAACTTATCACATGTCATCTATTTCAATTACTCTTTTTTTTTTTCTTTTCATATGAGGCGTGTTTGTTACATCGTGCAATTTTTTTTTTTGATAAGGTTGTTACATCGTGCATGCATGGACTGGTTTGGCTAAGATCTTATCCCGTATTTGTTTTACCCGGTTCTAATTTTAAGTGGGATCACCAAAAACACCTCCTTAGGTGTTTTAGTGAAACCCGTCTAGAGAGGAGGGACTAACAATCCCGACCCAAGCAACGAGCAACCAACCCCACAACAACTGAACCCCCAAGCAGTAGCCACGACCATCAGCCATAACCACCAGACATGACCACCAGCTACAACCACCAGACACGACCACCAACCACAACCACCCAAGAAAGAGAAGACATAATAGAAGAGGAAGAGAAGAGAGAAGAGAAAATTTTCAACAACAAAAAAAGAGGAGAAGGAGAAGACAGAATAGAAGAGGAAGAAGAGAAAAATTTCGAAGAAAATAAAAGGAGGAGGAAAAGACAGAATAGAAGAGGAATAACAAAAAAAAAAAAAAAAGGAGAAGAGGAATAAGATAGAAAGAGAAGAGAAAGTAAATAGAAGAAGAGGAGAGAGGATGGAGAAGAAGAAGAAGAAAGAGAAGCAAAGAGGAAGAAGAGTAAAGAGAGAGAGAGAGAGAGAAGAAAAGTAAAAAAAAATTAGTCCTAGTCCAATCAAAACATATATCAAACGCAGTACAAGTGTTATCCAGCTTATGACAAGCCAAGCCAAGCCAATCCAAGACAGTCCTGGTATTTAGTCCAGTCCATTACAATCCGTCGTACCAAACGATCCCTTAGTTCTTGGTACTTCAATTTTAAGTATTGAACCCTTTACTTAATTTTTAGGATTTTATTTAATTACCAAGGATTAATCCATTTGAAGAAAAAGAAAATAAGCTAGGACTAAAATTATGTATTGCAAAGCAAACATGGATGAAGGTCCAGTTTTCTTGGCCATATAATATTTGATGGCATTTGTGTTCATAAAATGGCAGCAGTTATGGCTGATATGTTTAGAAGTTAAAATAATTGTTCATAGCCTTCCTAATGGCCAACCACAGAGCGTTAATACACTCTGCCTTAACTACTAGCTTAAATCTTTTAGCCCTGACTTGATCAGCTTGAGAAGATTCTTGTTCTAATTTCCTCTTGATAGGCTCCACGCCTCCCATCACTCCCTGAATTTTCTTAATAAGTCCGGCTCTTCCTTGTTCCAATGCAGCCAATTCTGCCTTGACCCTGCCGAGTTTCAAGTCATATTCCACCAGCTCAGCTTCACAGGCTTGGCATATCTCTACTCCATGTTTGATCTTAGCCAGGTCTTGTTCATGATCAGTCAAGAACCTTG